CTTCGGAATGATTGTGTCAAGCTGGCATTAAGTCCCTCTTCCATCCACCTTCATTCTTTTCTTCACAATAAGGCTTTCAAATAAGTCATGGTTGTACGGCAGTGAAGCATTGGTGTTGAACACTGATGTCATGCTGTCAATGATGATGATGATGACCATGATAACTGAGCCAACGCTGGGCATGTCACCTGCTGGGATTTCTGTAACACAGAAGGTCTATATCACTGACCAACACGGAACTGTGTACAGGTGACGTTTTCAGCATCGCTCGGGTTTTTTCAAGGGTGCACTTCTGTCCGTTGCACACTCGGTGGCAGATTTAAGGGCGAGGCACTGCAGAGCGAAACCGTCAAAAACCTCGGATGTCGGGAGTGATCTAACTCGTTTGCTTCTTTCGATTGGACTTTTGTCCTCTTTTGTTTCTTCACCACTTGCACATTCAAGTTCAGTCCGCATCGTAACATGGTTACTGGTTACCTCCATAGGGTTCGTACCGCATTTCGATATTACCAAGCTGTCTCCCATCGCACCCATCACTATCATTTTTGATATTCTAGTTGGCCACTTAGTACTTCCGAGAAACCGTAGCTCGTTGCCATTGAAGGCGAACACGGTGGGTGTTTGACTTTTGTACACGGTTGTTTATTATCTTTAGCTTTCACCAGCATCCGCGTTTCGCTCCGCTCATACTTCGTTATGTTTTGCATTTCTCCTCAATAGCAGTTAATCGCAAGTATATCTTAACGGTTAAGATTACTAGGACCTGACTTCAGTGCTCCCATCACAACCTCCATCATTACCTAAAATGCAGCCAAACCTCTCCGTTTGGTTCCTATGCATCTCTGTACCTCTGTGCAATCTTGGTTGCCACAGTCGATTCGCTTAACTTAACACTTAACAATTTCTTCGCTTTATGCTACAGGTGACATATCGAGGCACATGGTTTGACTTCGATTAATTAAACACGGAGACCAGTTTAATGCTTGTACGGATTGCTCACGGTGACTCTGAACTCAGCCTAGACATCGACCCTGGATGGAACGTCCTATTTGTGAAGCAACGTGCGTGTCAAATGTTGCAACTAAGGTTCGATGAGTACGACCTGTTGTTCAACCATCGCCGCTTAGAAGAAGATGATAGATTCATGCAATACCAGGTGAATGATGGCAACGAGGTTGACCTGGAACTTGTCAGGCGTGAAATAAAAAACCGGTTCTTCATCTATTGTTATTCATGTGATTCTGTTACTCCGGCTTTGTTATCTTTCATCTGTGAAACTTGTGGAAAGCCACAGTTTAGGGCCACGTCCATTTCAGAAAATCGATCCAACGCCACAGGAGAATGCTGCGATAATATGTGTCCCTCAACTCGGGGACGTGTGAAGTTTCTATGTTTGAAAATGCCTTCCCACGAACCCGTGGTATTGCTCGACCAAATCAGACGCAACCTGGAATTAGTACCTTGCGTTGCCTGTTTCAATGAGGACCGAGATATCTTGGTGCGTTTTTGTGAAGTGCAGAATCACGCTTTGTGCATTGATTGTTTTAAAGCGTATGCACAGGAGTACTTGGAGAGTGGACTGTTTCAGTTAGTCACAGAGTTTGGTTTTACTCTGGGGTGTCCCGCGGGTTGTCGAAATGCATTCATAACTGATCCACATCATTTTCGCATTTTGGGACCTGAGTTCTATTCACGGTACAAAGATTTCTCGGCATCCAGGTACATTTGTGCCAACGATTCCGTAGTGTGTCCTCATTGTGGACAGATCTGGGAGACGTCAGTCGACCCCCCAGTTGTTGGGCGAACGTGTGCCAGCCAAGAATCAAGGCCCAGATTATACACCTGTCGCACACCCGCTGGTTGTGGCAGTCTCTTTTGTGCATTGTGTAACTGGTTTTATACAGGAGCTCCTAATGAATCTCCTACCTGTCACTGCGAAACCACTCACTCAACGCGTCTGCCACTACGCCTTCCTGAAGTGCTGCGATTTGTGCCCGCGTGGCATGCATTACCTGGCTCATCGACTGGAGCGGCTGCACGTAACATACTAGTGGAAACCTGTCGACCTTGTCCAAAATGTAAATCTCCAACAGAAAAATCTGGCGGTTGTAATCATATGCACTGTTCAGTTTGCTCTACTGACTGGTGCTGGATATGTTGTGAAGCATGGACCTCTGATTGTCAAGCCTTACATTGGCTCTAATAATTACAGTAGTGTTCGGTGACCTCCCCATCGCGCTTGACTTGTACATTATTTTGTGCAATAAAATATTTTTGTAGAGCGTCACCTTTTAGCCACGTACGTTGGCTTCTATCCGCATCATCCTTGGATTCTTTTATAGCTTTTGTCCATCCCGGAACCGGAGCAATGTCTGCCGGAGCCGTGCGTGCGCCGCTGATAATACCTCTCCGCCCACCAGTTCCGGGTGTTCCGAAGTCACACATTGATACAAACACTCGTTTGGAAATTATGTCGGAAACTCCAAATGTGGATATTTATTTCACAATCAATGGCAACAAACCAACGATACAGAAGACTGATAGAGAGTTGCTGAAGACTGGAACTTACAAATTCCGCACTCCATTTACTCTTCCGGCTGGAACACAGATTGTCCGGGCGATTGCGTTCTTGCCGTGAGTACATTTGCTTGCTATATAGGCAAAACGCAAAAGTCTGTCAGGGTCCGCTGACAGACCAATCCTGGCGTAGTCCCTAGATACCAGTCAATCATCTCCTTTCGCCCTTTCCTATATTTAACTGAATATCCATTTGCGTACTTAGCTTATGATGAAGGGATAGCCAAAAGAGCATAGATTGTATCTGTTTTATTGACATTCAACCGAATGTGTGTAGCGCAAATGCTGTTGCGAGGCTCGGTTGAGCTGATGTCTGAGATATCGGGGCATTATTCGGAATTTTTGTCAAAACTTACGAGTTCATCGGTTCGTATAGTGAACACTGATTCCCGGGCTGAGTAAGAAAAACGTTCTTCGGTGAGTATGCGAATTGACTGTTGACTTTTGGCAGTTTGTCGGGATATTGGTAGCTCAATTGCGTTATTTGTTGACTAGTTGACCGTTGATCAGTTCGCCAAGCTCGGTTTCCGCTCAAGGAAATATCTCCAACGAGCCGTCGGGTTGAATGTGCAGCCCAGTCGATAAATGGTGTCACCGATGAAACCAACCACCTGTGACAGAAGAAAAGGATAAGAACTGGTGTTTTTAGGGTAGAGTTACTCAGGTACCAAATGGACAAATGCAAGAGGAGGTGTACAGGAAGCCGACGCACACAGACCAACTTCTAAACTATCACAGCAACCATTCAAACTGCCACGGAGGGACATGCAGCCCTCACTGAAATCGAAGAACAGAGATGTGTATTCAAAGTCTTCCACATGAAAATAGTTGCCCGAAAAGTTTCACTTAGATATCTCTGAGAAAATGTAACTCAGTTAACTCATTACCTTGAAGACAAGGCAAAAGCACTAGAATTCCGCCCACCAATGATAATTCTGAAACAACCACGAGACTGCTGTGAAACCGCGTACAGCTGATTTACACACCCACGAATACATCGAGGAGTGTTCCATCAAAATGAAAGAGAAGAATAGATTCAGCAGGGCAAACATAAGCTCACAGTCCATTAAAAATGATTTTGATAGGCACTGCGCAAGATAAACGGTACGAATGTGTTAGCCGAAATGAACGACCGTTCTCACTTCTGTTCGCGTAATGTGATTTTCAAACAAGAGGTATAAGGTACTCTTTGGACGCTATATAACCGCAAGCAGAGAGGGAGATTAGGTGCCCATCCAACCGCACACTGACGATTTCCCCCCGAATGGTGACAAAACGTTTGCCTTCTAGTTGTTAAGCTTGGTGAATAGATGAACAACAGCTACTTATGTATTTTTTACGGGAATTTAGAATGAGTAAAGTGCGCTACTCAATGACGGTGATGCATTCTAGTGTAGTTCGGTGAAAGTGACTGCCACGGATTCGTACGTACATTTCTCCCTCAATTAAGAAAGATAGTCACTCGATTGGGTTGGCTCATGTAGTTCTTTCATATTGGAAGGATCACTGTGAAAGAAAAAGGAATGTGAATTGTTCGTCACTGTTATTCTGACATTTCTTTCCCAAGTCACCAAAACGTACTGCTAACATTCAATGGGTTGGTGATATCTCATCTCCTAATCTTCATTTACAGAGACACCGGAAGTGAAAGCAACATTGTCACAAAGAGGTTCGATGTGGTTAAGGCAAGCGTTGTCGAAGGCGACGGAAATACGCCCCTGCCTGACGACTATGGTTTCCTCGAAGACCTGAAAGCTATCGAATCGCACCGCAAAAGCCACTCAGTAAGTGAGTCGATAGGATTATCCAATAAGGTACTTGACATGTCTAAGAACCAACTTGTGCTACCGTAGACTAATGAAGAAACCATAAAACTACTATCGACTCATTGCGTGCGGTGCCGCACATTTCTGTTCTCGTGTCATACTCTCAAGCGTTACACGGGCTTCAGTGGAGTAGAATAGAATAGAGTAGGGTGCAATGCAGTGGAGCACATTGGTACAGCGTAACGTAGCGTTGTATACTAATACGCCACCACAGTGCTCGTTTGTGTCAAAATACTCATCAGACCCAAACCTCAAGGACCCACGTTCGGTATCCCGTCATACCTCACAGTTATAGGTGTAATCCTTACTCTTTGGAGAGAAAAGCCTTCGGGTCAGCCGAACTCATTCTCCAGTGTAGAGAGTCCTGTCGAAAGCAAATCCAGTGTCACTGGCCATGGGTGAGCCTGGAGCTCACTCTCTTTTATATAATCTACATGTATTGAATCGTCCCATCCTCGGACTAGATCTCAGAGTGATTTGGATGCGAATTTCACACGTACTAGATTCTAACTTGATGAAGTAATTCTGGTCGATCCACTGCACTTTTACTGACATCTTTCGAGATATGCAACAGCATCCAACGTAGAGTGAAAAACTATTGTATTTCGTTAGCTATTTGACTAGAACTTGGTCTCACAAATACCGTACTTTCAGATTGTTACGATATTGAAGGTGTACAGACGTTACGCTCCTCCAGAAATCGCATTTTCCCGCCAGTAGATTCCTGATGGAGCGGGACTCTAGTGGATTCATGGAAGTTCGTCTCTTATCTAAGCAGCAGTAGTGACACGAGATCAGGTCCAAGGACTTTGTTTGATTCCGGCTGGAACATTTCCTCCGGACGTCGTCCAATCTTAAGTGCCCCCTTATTTGTCTGAAGCAGCTTCAGTAAGGTAAGAAAATATTTCGCCTGGGTTTCATCATATCAACAGAGGTCGAAATAGTTCGTCACATGATCGCAACGTATTGACACGCCAGGATTCGACAAGACTGAGATATGTGAAAGGAATGTTTTGTCTTTGTGAGCTGATGTTATCGGATGTGCAGCGTCTTCATCTTAGGATTAATGACACTGATCGAGTGATGATACGTTGGTTTGGCTTTGAGTAGAGCTTTGTAGAAACCCCAAGACTGTGTGCTTGTGTTTATCGAAGAGATCATAGTTACTTCCAACAGGGAACCTGCGGGAGCTGTACAATATTCCCCAGTGTAAAGGAGGTTCAGGGAGAAATACTCAAACCTATTCAGATACCCACCGTGATACAAAGGGCAACTCAGATTGGCAGTCAGTTTTGTGGAACGAGTAAATTCAGTTAGCTCAGTTACTTGGGGAAATGTACATGGTTGCATTTAGTACCGAGCGGTATTTGCGTAGGGATCGGGATCCGCATTGCATGATCAGGCAGTTGATTTATCGCGAGACAATTTAGGAACTGACGGTTTTGCATGAAATTTTGTGTGGAATATGACCTGTCGGTCAACACAGACCTCGATCCGTTTCTTCAGAACCGTCCGAAGATATGAGTTGTGAGTTGTTCGCATTTCAAGGTATTTCGACCAGTGGCAGACCTAAAACTTTCAATATTCATTGTTAATGGGTGTAATAGCAATGAGTTAACTGCGTTGAATGGTGCATTTATCCGAGGAAGGTTATGGTTGGGGGTTCAGTTCCAGCGTAGTCTAACAGCTTGAATCAATAGGTTTTGTACACACAGTTTGAGTTGCTGTGTGTTCACCAACATGGCTTTAGACAAGGTCAGCAATTTTGAGTTGCATCTGCGCAACAACATCGTGAAAGCCTGAGCAGGTCCAGACAGGTGATTTGTCCTCTGTGATCAATTTCGTCACGAAGACCAATATGAAGCGAGCCTTCGCAGAGTACCTCACTCTCTTATTCCTGATTTGCATTCGATTCAGAAATTTTGACGGGTGTTGTCCCTTCCAACAACGAGCGGGCGTTACCGAATAGAGCAGCCATACTCCGCATTTTCCCAACATTTGTGGCTTTCAGGAGTACCATTCTGCCAGTCCTGGTATCTTTTTCCTCCCATAGTGCTTGGGTAAGGTGTGCAATGGATTTCTGCACGGGTGCTTCTAGGGACCTGTGTTGTTTGAACAATAAAGTTGCTCTAGTGTACTCGGACCATATTAAGTGCACCTTGGCGATGTGGATAGCGGAAACAATCCAGAGTATGCACTGAATCCTCCTCACCTGTTGATTAAATAGGTAACATTGTAAAGTTGCGCGAGCTCGTTCTCCTCCGTTAGAACTGCCTGCTAAAAGGCATCGTCATTTCGTTCTATCTCAATTAATTACGGTTTGCATGGTCTCGTACTTTGTTGAACACTTTCCAAATAGCCTATGCATGTGATAATGCAAGGCCTTAGGGTGGTTGGAAAGAAACTGGGGGTGCTTGGAATATCGGTTTTGCGTGTACCTCAAAAATCGCACCTAAGTTTCTGTCGATAGCTATTTGTAGACGGCCGGATTCCGCAATATACGGGAACCTATTTCAGTCTCTCACAGCCCCCGTTCAACAAGAGTGTGTTCTAAGTATGATGTAATCAGTTCTCACAAGTCTTTTATCCAACCAGATATCTTTTACTTCTTGCGAGTTCAGTGTGTGATGCCCGTCGTGGCCTTCTCGTGAATAATTATTTCGATGCCTGATTCGCAGTTGTCCACATTTTTCAATAGTCTTTAGGACTGATTACGTTTCACCTGCATACAGTCTGTATTTGAAAATCTACCTGTTCACTGTTTTGAGAATCGATGCCGCACACCAAGCCATACGTTTTTCTGCGTTGTTAGGTCACTACTTCATCCTGCTCTCCTCTCTTCTTGTAGTCAGATGGATTGAAGCGTGCTCCTTCACGCGACCGTGTTCGAAAACCTCCCGTTCATGATGTCGAATCTTCCAAGACACGATCTGGAAAATCTACGGAACCTAAAGGTATATACATGCGATTCCCGCGATTCCTATACATTAACTTTTATTTTTCATCCTTTGAACTAAGCATATTTTTATTAGTATCGATTGAAACTCTTCCTTGCAGTTGTTAAAAAGGCTCAGAGTGCCAAACCGACTACGATAACTTGCACTCTTCCTCAGGTCAAGGGTGAGCTCTGAAGAAAAGTTTTGTTCGTTCGCCCTTACAGACTCGGTGTCGATCTGGTCACTATGATCTAACTTTCGTCGTGCTTTTTTTCAACTGTTTGCAGATTTTGACGAGGGGGACGTCGAAATCTCAGGGTCGGCAGATTCCAAAGGGCTAGGGGTGAGTTTTGCACGATACCTCCCATCTTTTCACTTGTAATTTTTTATGACCCATGCCTTTGGCAACAATCCGCTCGTTTCACAAACGATTTACCACAGTTGGTCATTGGGAACACACCCGGGCACGTACGAATTCCCCAACTCTGAAGCAGGACATTTTTGAGAAGAAGGGAATTGTGCTCGTGAATTCTTTCTGACCGCACAGAACAAAACTTAAGTTATCGAAAGACGGTACAGAGATTGTATAACTCATGAAGTTGGCGTTGCTTAGCCGTCTGAGGATTAATCTACTAGATAATGCCGACAAAATTGTGGCCACTTTTGTTATTGCTAGCATATCTTACACAAGAACTCGAGGTAGCTTACTGGTTAAGGCGCGAACCCACTGACCGAAAGCTCTGCAGTTCAAACACAACCTCAGCACCTCAACTGCTCTTGTCTAGCCCTGGGCAACCCGATAATATCTCGGCTTTCATGTTTTATTCAGCTGGTATGGTAATTAGGCAGTGAACCTGGTAGCTTGTAGTATGCAGTAAAATGCAGTCGCCTATATATATATATATANTATATGGAATGAATCGCTTGCTTTATACTACTTTCACTTCGTTCCGTTCTCTGGTATATTTTGACCAGACAAGGATGGGCCAACGCAGCCATAACACATGTTACGGATCGTTATCCGATTGTTCTTCATCCAATAATTGATGCAGAGACTTTCGACCGGTGCAGTTGCACGGTGATCTAGTGTGAACTACTGCACTGCGCTATCACTGAATGAATATTCTCGTGGTTTGTTGATAACGAGCTGCTCGAACAGTTTGCTGAATTCGTTCTCAGAATTTTAAGATACTCAGTATGATCAGTAGACTAACACTCGAACATCTTGTTGAGTAAACCGCACACCAAATCTTTCACGTGCGATTTTGTCACGACCTGACACACTGAGTTGTATCCTTTTCGTTACCTCGGGTAACGATACTACCCACTTTTTGATTTTTTCTGATAGACATCAAAAAGATTGCGATCCAGTGACGGTCTGATACGACCATTCGATGTTGCTCTTCCGAGACGCCCACCCGTGGCTAGCCTTCCCGATCCATCCATTCAGTTCGCCCGGCTACAGCGAATTACAGATGTACTTCGGTACGTTTTAGAAGTGTCTTTGTTCCGAACCCCCACCTCACCATAGTTCGTCGAACTGGTGAATACAGGGTTTCATAATGTTGTCTTTGTTTTCCCACCAGCTTTTAAGCTTTTCAGAAGCCCGAGTGGCCTTAACAAACTGGTTAGTCGCAAAATCATGATAATTCGCCACGCGATCCTTCTTACCGCTTACTTACCTCTCTTGGTGCCTTCAAGGTATCTCATACTTGTATGCTTGTGTTTAGTATGCATCTGTCTTTCTCGAAAGCTCAAAAGCTAACGACTGACGTGACAATTTGACAGCACATTGGTTACATGGTTACTGTGGATTACATCCAGTTGTTCTTTTCCAAACAGGTCGACCTTTTTCCTGTTGCTCCTTTTGAGTCCTCTATAGCATAGAGCTAGTGTACTTTTAACAGTATCTTTGTAGTACACTTGAATCCTGTATTCCACTGTACGATCGATTTTCCACATATCAATGTTGCAACAGCAGCAGCAGAGTACCTACATGTTTATATTACTTTATTCCGCTTGCAGTTAAGGTTACCATTAGCGACGATGTGCAAACAAAGGCCAAAAGGTAATCGTGGCTGGTCATTGCTGATGATTAACTGTGGTTCTTTTCCCACCTGTTGGATTCCAGTTGTCCCCACTGTTTCACTGCACGCCTAGCAACACAAGCCCAGAACTTTTGTGTGCATTGTGGACACCCCCTACCACCCCTACCAACTCCGGTCACTTCGGATTCCGGCAGCACTCGATTGGGTCACTGTTCCGCCTGTGGATCCAACATTCCATTGAATTTTCCATCATGTCCCGTTTGTGAAAACCGTTTGCACCCAACACCAGAAAGTGAAGGAGTAAGTAAACGAACATGTTCTCCCCAATAAACCCTGTTCCACTTATAGCTTTTTATAGCTTTTCTCGACGCCGAGATTGCCTCCCTTGGCTCCGAAACTGGTCAGTGAATCGTCTTTTTTGCTGAAGCGGGTTGTTCTCCGCGACACGACAAAATAACACAACACTTGACATTGATTCTTCTAGTCTGGTCTATCTGGATGAAGCTCTACTGTGAAAATCCCTGTTTGTAATGAGTGTTTCATCTGAACAAGTCGCACGAGCAACTCTCAAACGGGAGGGTTTAGTTGGGGAATTTCCATGTTCCAAATGAGAATGGAGTTTACAGTTTCCTAGACCCATACTTTTCCAGTACTGCTTGTGAGCTCGCTCCAGCCTTCGAAACACGTGTCGTTCGTTTTGCAACGAAATGTGAATACTTGTCGATTTTGTTTTCCTATCGAAAAGAAAGCCTCAAGTCAGATAACCTAGAAGAAGGAAATGACACGACTCCATATGCTAAACAGGGTTTCTTGTAACCATTGTGATTGACAATCATTGATCTGAGTTAGTTCGGTTGTTCACTTTGAACTTTTATCCGACATACAACACCAATTGAATACGCTGACTTGATGAGATCTGGGTGATTGGTTATCTATCTGCTTTGGGGCTGAACTCACTTTGCAACTTGGGTTGCTGAAGGCCTGGTGACAGCCGACCTTTCTGAGACTGTTAGAACATCACTTTGTCTTATTGCTTGTCGATACTGTCTCATTCACAGGCGACCCATGCAGTTTAGTTCATGTACCATTTGACACAGACGAACATGCATTCATTACAAACAAGATCATAATGCAATCTAAACACGTTTGCTGGTGTGTATACGCACGTTTCCACCTTTGCGTACCTGGAGGTAGGAGCACTTCCACCTTTGCGTACCTGGAGCCTTGTAGGAGCACCACCAATAGCTGACATTTGTCTAGGCTTTTATGCACTGCTACGTTTTGACGTAGCTAAAGCTAAACCAAAATCTTACACTGATTTCCAGATGCCCCATATAGCTTTTTAGCTTTGTGCTAACATAGACGCTGTATGCCATATCAGCTATTATTATCATCAGTATAATATGTTATCGTCGTTGTATTATCGGTTTTGCAGTGTGATACACTGAGGCCTTCACGATGCACGCAGATCACAACGGACGAGAAGGAACCAGGATAGTATAAGTATCCTAATTTGGACCGTACTGATGGTCACGGGCGAAAAGTTTGTATTCACTGATTCCCTGTAAACCATGAAGCAAGCCGGGCATTTGTGAAAAGATACAATCTTTTCGTATGAATGACGCTTTTTTATAATACTGATGAACACACGATTCTCGTACTGACCTGTTTGAGCCACTGCTAGCTGATAGAACCTCTCCAACTTCCCTTCTGCAGGCAGAAGAATACCGACTTTGTACCGTATGTGGAACACTGAATCCATGCAATGTCACCAGCTGCCTCACTTGTGAAGCTCGTGTGGATTCAGGCAGACAGAATCTCGTGTACTCCTCGCGTCAAACTCATCCATCTCGTTCACCTACTCTTATCACTTCTGTGCTCTCCGATGGCTTGAACTCTATGCGTCCCGAAAATGGCGCCAACTTTCTGCGTTGCCCCCATTGTCAACGTAAAAACAATCCTGATGCACGTTTCTGTGATCGCTGTGGATTGGAAACAGTTGGGCTGTTGCAGACTTCACACCCACGGCACGTGGAAAAAGGATTTTCTCCCCATTGGTCTGGCACTTCCGGTTTTCCCAAAGAAAAATACCTATCGGGTGTTGCCTCTATCAAACACGGATATCCTCCAATCGGTGATGGTGTACAATCACATGACAGTGTGGTACCTATCTCTGCCGGTCAGTGTGTCACATGTGGAAACAAGCTGACACTGGATGCATCGTTTTGTTCGCGTTGTGGATCCTACTTAGAACTTCCCACAAGGGGTCCGATGTGGAGATCACGCAGTGAGCGTTCGTTTTTGGCATGTTTGTCTTGCTACAGATCTGAGATGAAGTGAAGTTACTAGTATACTTCCATGTCCCTCCCATTCCAAAGTTACTTATTTTTGTTCATTTTGTTTCTACTCATCCGTTGGTCTCCATTCGCTAAGGAAGTACGATTTCTCCTCTACGGAGTGTGGTTAGCACACCGAACTGCAATTTCCGACCGGTAAAACAACATGGTATTCAGACTTGATAGGCACTAGCACGTTGGTGCCTAAGTTGTACCCTAGAATGATACCCTGGTCCTACTCACTAGCATTTGCTTGTCGCTACGAAATTGCTGTGACACTCAATGGCCTTTTGAAGAATACAACCCTAATATATGTTTAACCAAGCTAAGTGAAATGTCTATTCTACCTGTGCGGTTTGCTTGTTTTGTGTAGTTGTATGTGGTTTAACCTCGTTTTTCTTCAGTCGGTCACCTGGACCGTGTGTCTTTAGTTGTTTTATTCCCGTTACTTCCTTGCCATTTGCCCCCATCAGCTGAGCCTTTTCTGTCGAACGATTCTAACCAACCGGTGTCGAACAAACCTAGGCGCACTGTTGTGTCAAACGTAGGCACACAAACCGTTGGATTGTTCTTTCCAAGCTCAGCAGATCTTCGGCGCAAGGAAATGTTGGTACAACCGCAGCCTGCTGCTACCCAACCTCGTGAACACACGCCACTTTTAAAAGCTATCAGTCCAGGACGAGGTAGGTTTCCCGCGTTATCCTCGCTTTTAGTTCGTTTTGGTTACATTCTTCACTTGTCGTAAACAGATATAGGTCATTCGGTGGTGGTTCAGGTCCTACTTATCCTAACTTATCTCATTTACCTCTTGTAATACATTTCCACCCAAATTCTACCTGATTCGTTTTTTCACATATGTGCCTTAGTTGTCGTGGTCTGGAATCCCCTCTATGTGCAACGGTGTTTAACTTTTTGTAAAGTTCAACCTTTATTACTCATTTCTACGTTTAGGCTTTTGGCGGAAGCAGCTGGACCACATTATTGCGCACTTGAAGGTGTACACCAACAATAATCCAGAATTTCGTGTGGCGATTGGAGAGCCTCGAATGGGAAAGGTGTGTTTCCATTCATACTGCTTATTTCACGTTCATTTGCTCATTTTGTTGCCCACAGACCCTGTACTTTTGTTTGCGACGTGACGTATAGTTGCTGTGTTTTCACTCGATATCGGAAGCAGGCCTATGCATTCCCCTATCCCCGTATTACCGTTCCCTCTTCGCGATTTCGATCGCCCTATGTCTTGATTTCTTTCCCAAGAGTGACTTTTTAATATTCTCTTTTTCAAATCAAATCCATCAGTAACGTCCGCGAATTTGATTCTATAGGGAGGCAACTGAAGAGCGCATGTAATCCAACTAATTCAGGAATACAACGTAGGACAAAAGCCACTGTTGTCATTCGTCATTGTGAGCATGTTTTTGGACGAACTATTATGTACGGTTGTCTCCATCAGTGGGCGGACCGAAACTGACCTTTTACGCGAACTCATCCCTTGGTAGGCGGTTACCGTTGTCCCACTGAAATGAAGTTCATTCATAAGCCCTGTATGAATCCGGGATGATTCGAGCAGCTACCGTTTCATTCACCAAGGATATATGTGATGATAAAGTTACTCTAACATTCGATGCGATGGACCGTTGATGCCAAATCGCCTTTTTGTATAATAAATCGTGATCTGAGAAAGTCCTGATGTAGGACCGCCATGGGCTGCATGATTGAGACGTATATGTCGGTGTCACTAACTGGTGGGTCATCAGTTGCGAACACGACTAAGTCGTCTGGCTTGGGGCTTTCGTAATTTGTTACGAAGTCATGAACTGGTCGTCTCATGGTTGTTTCATCTCGGGATGTGACGGAATGAAGAGATCTCTATGAATCAAGCGATCCTGTCATACTAAGTGACCCGACCAACGTAACCCATGCTCAGTTAACCTGTCGGGGGAGAGAGAGGGTTTTTTCCTGAAAACCATGAAGCGTGTCTCAGTATCACCGAACTGGTGTTCCCGCCAGACTCATACAGTGTTTCGGAGACAAATAGTGAGCCGTAGTTTCCTGGATGATCTACATGTAGCGGACACGTCTCTGACCCTCAAAGTAGGATAGGTCACACCGCGACATTGTACATCCTGTCCTTGACAGCCAACCTGATGTCGTGTTAACGCAACAAATGCCGGAATTTAACCAATGCTATCCTGCTCTTGCTTACTGCGGAGGTGATTTTGCCTTTCGCCTGTCCGTTGGAACTTGTGCGCTGTGCCAGTGTAAAGTGCACCAGAATCACTTAGTCAAAATAGCTTGCCTTTCTAAACGGTCAGCTCCACGTAGAGTGATACCGGCAGATTATTCAATGTCGGAGGGCGAGAGCCGTATTTTTTATTGGAATATCCATCGGAAAAACTATTTTTCCGAAATATATGTCATTCGAAAGCATTCTTTTACGTCATATGTGGAAGACAACAGGTGCACGGCTGTGAAATCGCTGATAATTAGACTGGCAAATTTCATTCAGCACATTTGTGTAAAACAGTCTGTGAATTTCAAGAAATCTAGCCTCAACATGATCATACCGTCAGTTCAAACTTAAGAGAATGAACGGTCCTCGTGACAAATTGTTAGTAGGCATTTGACACCTTAATGTGAACAAAATATCAGTACACACTCGGTTTGTTTCAGACAAGGTGTAATGATGTGATGTTCGAATAAGTACCCGCTAGTCCTGCCAAAACCAATGGTGTCCGCCTATTTAATCAGAGTATCTACATTGCTGATTTGTGGCCGGCTACTTTAAACATCTAGTTCGTGCACTCCGAGTAACTAAATTGCAATCCATTCGGAGTCCCATACTGATTCAAGTCAAATGTTCCTTTCGAGGTGGCGATGAAATGTTTTCCCTTATCAGTTAATCCCCTATTCCTACCCCCAGCCGACCTTCCTTGTTGGTATACCACTCAGCTGGAAAGCAATATAGGTCCACCAACTTGATGAATTTTTGCTAACTTTCCTCTACAGAGAGTGTGTGGATCGCATTTTCGTCGAAACCAGTCGAAATGCTGTGGAATATTTTGCTCGTTGTGACCATGACAATGCTGTGTTTATGAGACGCTCAGCCATAGCAACCACCATCGCCGTTTGTCAGCCGTAGTGAACACACAAATGCTGGTGTGCTTTTACCCTATCTGCATTGACCAAGTATCTTGTGACAGCTTGACGTGACAGTGTGTGCTGTTTGTATTGACGGAAACCGACCACCTTAGACTGTACTAGGCGAACTGGAAGGCAGGTTGGTTTCCTGGAGGAAAACGTGTATGCCAGTAGTTTTTAACCGAAGCGAACGGCAATCGAACATGAATCCGCTCCCCGTCATCCCCGATCAGGGTGTGCAGCAGGTGGTGGTTTTTGACAAATCGCTCTTGAGGTAGATTCCACAGCGCGACGGGGATAATATTTCGGGTGTATGTGGATCTTCGGATTCTCAGAAGTTCTCGAAGTCATTTTCTGGACCATTTACTTTGTTATGCTGAGTTCATCGATCATAAAAGCTGACAGTCAAAAAGTGTGAAATTTACTACAGCAAAGCATTAGGGTTGAACACTGATGTTATGCTGTCGATGGTGGTGACAATCAAAAAGAAAGAAATCGAATTTTAGTAGTAGTCTAATGTGCAAGGCGCACGTTCAGCTGAAGACCGAGGAGTTGTAATTTATGTTAATATAACTACCCTTCATTATCAAATATCAGGACCTCTTTCCTTGTCAGTGTCATCATCGTCAGCTGTAAAAGCACGTGCTCGGTACAGTGGTGGCTTCTTCCCTTCGCGTGGTTGTGCAAAAAAGGCTGCTCGAGTAAGTCGGTCGACTGACCTACGGAGCATGTGACCAAGTCAGTGTGACCTGTGAAGTGTGGTCAGCTCATCTATTTTGGGCAGGCTATTTCTTTCGAGAACCTTGCGAACTGCTGCAGCATTATTCATCCGATGTTCCCACCAGACTCAAATAGTGCTTCAAAGACATCAGTGGTCAAACACTGAATGCCTTTTGATGTCCTCGTCGCGCAGCGGCCAGGTTCATGACCCTTATAACAAGACGGATCGCACCGCAGCATTGTAATCTCAACCCTTAACGGATAAGCTGATTTCACACCTACGCCACAGGTGAAGTTCACGCACGAAGGCTGCTCTGGCCTTCCCAATCCGGATGGAAATATCAGCTTTGACTAGACTACCGGGACTAATTCAGCTGCCTACTATCTATATCGGGTCACCCGCAAGCCTGATGTTCGAGGTTTTATCCCATCCATTCTTGAAGCATTACTCTGCAGTTTGCAGATATGGGGTGGCATTATTTGGTATTGTTTTTATTACCATGATATCATTTCCAAAAAGAGCTATGTCATCCATGTACTCGATATTTGTGTGAGTGAGCACCCTTGGTGGCCCCACAGGCACTGGTGGCTGGGCTGAATCTTCCATGTTCCGTCTGTGTGAAATAAGAAGAAGACAAAAGAGAGGTAAAGGTAAAAAAGAATACCTGGACTCACTGCCCTAATGTGTTGTTCTTCCACAGGTGCCGTTTCTCATCATACTGATCTGAATTGAACCCCGTACTTTCTGTTCTTTTGCTTACTTCATAAAGCAACTAGTAATGAGAGGTGACTTTTTCCTCAAGTCTCTTCACCAGATAAACTACCAAATCCCGTAAGTTCTTCCATGTAGCTGTTCATTTATTTGGGGTTTTGAGAGTCTGGGAACGATCTATATCTTTCTTGTGGCTTTTAGGTACGTCAGTTCCTACCGTGTGCATGCGATGCCCGTCCATTCTCTAATTTTGGTGTTTGCTTCTCTCTGCTTGCGTGACGCATTTTCGTAAACGCGGTTTTATCCCTCCAAAGGCTTGTCGGTCGCCTATCATTCGTTGCAGTATTGGTTTTTCCCTGACGTAAACAATCAAAGTAATTGTATTCATAATTGTCTCTTGCTATTCATCGCTTGTCCAACCGATTATCTGCGTGTTCCTTGGGTGTGCCCTCATTTTGAGGTAATATCAACTAACCTGTATTTTAACATGGTTGTTGGTATCCTTTTTGGTAACTCTGTCCAGACCTTCACTGTGACTTACAAAGTATAGCATAGTATAGTAAGTAGTAGGTATAGTATTTTATTGCTACGTCATAGCCTGTTGTATTCCACGCTCAGCGTTTTTCAATTGTCTTGCATTTTTAATGTGAGATTTCTGAAATAATGTAGCGGGCAAAGTTGGCATTCTAATGCCAGTAATGCTCATGGGTTTGAAGATGATTCCTTGTGCTCAAACCTGTAGGTCCTTTCATTTAAAGGATTTCAACTAGTGTGGATAAACTGGGTCCGTTTATCACTTTTCTGTCAAATTTACTGCAAACAATCCTTCCATGGCCTCCAACCACTTTTAGCTGGAATTTGTTCCCCCAGTCGCGTAATCTGCTCTTCCGCCGTAATGATTCCCTACCCGTACTTGACTACTCATTTCTCATATTCTTCAGTTGCTATCGGCCGATCTGACTGAAGCTGGAGGCTGTGCTACGGTTACCCTCATCTACTCCCTACCCCAGTCAAGTTCCAATGGACCTGCTGCTTGGAATCAACGCCTAAACAGTGCGACTAGTAATTTTTCGAATGGTACTGGACACGGACTTCACAACCAAAAACTCCGTCGACATTCACTGAGGGGTGCACAGGAAAGTTGGACAAATTCCGATGGATTTTCCGTCCGATCTGAGGAAGGCAATGAAAGTGAAACAAATATTTTAACACTGAAGGATACCCGCAACATTTCTCAACAGCGCTTTTTTGGAAAGCATGCTCGACAGGGTGACGAAGATGATTCTGTCAGCAGTCCGAAACCCGCTCCTCGGCAGGATGTTTCCAGCCCATCACTAGATAGAACGGTTTCTAGCGATCTGGAGGTTGAAAATTTTGAACCGTTCGTAACTGGTAAAGCATCAGGTTAGTCTGAAGGTATCATTCGAAGATATTGAGTAATATACGCGTCCGAATGCCCGTTTCCGCAGAAGTATTAAGTGTGGCCAAAAGGTGCTTGAATTTTTCGATCCATGGGACCTGATGAAAAACATTGTCTACTGCTTTCTCACTTCAATTGTGCATAATTTTCTCATATTTTTGGAGATGTTTTTAATATGAAGAGTTAGGTAGAGAAATTGCGCTATGATTCGGAATCAGTTGATATGTGGTTTGAAAGGTGCAGCGGCAACAAACGTATAAAACGTGGTAAAACCACAAAAAAATGCTAGAGATCACCTAAACCGCATAGGTAATTCCTTTTGCCGATGAGTAACGGACAAAACCAGGAAGATTTCAAAAGACCCAATGAACCCCGAACTGACGATGTCGCTTCGACTCGTGATGAAACAGTTGCAAGCCAGCTACGAAGCTCGGCGATCATCATCATCATCGACAGCATGACATCAGTGTTCAACACCCATTCTTCACTGCCGTACAACCATGACTTATTTGAAAGCCTTATTGTAAAGAAAAGAGTAAAGGTGGACGGGGAAGGCACCTCATTCCGAGGTGCCTATACCTTCAGACACTCACTCAGGCAATCTGAATAGAAACTGACAACAAGAATGCCACTGACATCGGGTGGCAGCCGTATCTTGTAGTGTCTCCAACCAGACACAGTGAGGATCACGCGGTCCCCATCCTGGAAGGCGAGTCGCACCGACAACATTCAAGCGTTTCGTGATCTCCTTCATACTCCTCTGCTAAGTCGAGGGTTGGCCACCTCTCTGCGCTCGGCGAACAGACCCACAACCAAGTACCCTTAAGTCCCTGTATCCGAAAACCCGTCATTGAAACCTCTGTGGTGGAAATGCTCCCGAGGCGTTCGCTCACATTTGAGTACGCGAACGGTATTGCTCACCTTGGTTCAAATCCATCAAAGATATAAGTCACCTCGATCGACTTAAGCCATTCCGCCGCACCGTTTGGTGTGCGCTTCAAGTCTGCAAAATGTAAAATGCTGCTACAAGATTAGGTGGACTCAAACGGGAGCCTAACACTTCCAGGCAAGCCAGTCTAAGTGACAGACAAATTTATTTACGTGGAAAGTTGCATGATTCCTGATGAACTAACTGATGACGAGATCGCCTCAAATCGGGAAGGTCAGGGCAGCTTTTGTGAACGTCCGATGCCGATGTTACCGAAGCGACGTCAGTTTTTTTGTCAAGGGCAGAGTGTACACTGCGGCGGTGATGCTCATACCGCTTTGTGAATCAGAAGTTTCTATCTGCGTAAGATGTACGAGTACTGTCGGTTTCTTACCACTGGGATGTACGAAGCATTGGGTAAGTCCAGTGAGAATTAGCAATGCTGAGCTCATGCAGATGGTTTTAGGAAAAAATAACTTTCCTGCAGTCATTGAGCTACTCACCCTCATAGGTTAGGATGTATATTTTGTGGAACTCTTTGCTCCGCCCTGTGCTGAGGATAACGATTAAAAAAATAGACAGTCTGTCGCCTGGTAACAAAGTTTGCAAGCACTTGCCAGTATACTGCCGCCTGCCTGGGTGTGAATTCGGGACTGAACCCGTCAATGCTTGATGATACTGACAGGCATGGTTCAACCAGGTTCAACCTACAACAGTTATCAGCCTCAGTACGCAGCTATCCAGTTTCACACACCTTCAAATAGCCGGGCTGATTCAGTACGAAATAGCCAATCATGCCACCGACTGTGCTTAGCCATATCTCTTTCTATTTCTGGTTATCGAAACTATCCTAGGATATATGATTTATAACTGAAAAACTTAATCAACTGCGACGTTTGGGACCGCGATAGATGTCTTACCGGTATCTCTATAACAGCCGAGGATTTTCCCTCTGCTTTATGATGGGCACCCGCTAACGGACTTCCAAACTCTTCTGGCTGCACAATATTGTCTGAGGAGCGCACGAGTATGCCTTTCATCCTCCTTGACTCGTGCTCCTGGTCTTATGGAAATTTATCTAAAATGGCCAGCCAACTAGGACGTTGTATCAAGGAATCGCGGTTGACGCACCTTAGCGATAGGGCTTTTTCTCACCTGACTTCGTTGTTGTGTACTTTGCATGTGAAACACCGCTTATCAGATTCTCTTTGGGAATCAATATCTGGTAAGGATAAATGGTATTGGAGCAATCATTTCTAATTAATTATTTGTTTTCCCACGACCGCGGGATCTCGAGGTAAATAGCTGATAGAGTGACCTATCTCATTCACTTTCGTCTCTACAAGGACGGGGCGAGACGGCTTAAGTGGTTAGAGCGCGAATTTACTGACCGGAAGGTCTGTGTTTCGAACCCAACTTCTGTCTCTCGACTTCCCCTATCTAGGCTTGGGCGACCAGGCAGTATCCCAGCCCTCGTGCTTCCTTCGGGTGGCATAGCAGCTAAGCACCGGAGAGGCGCTACAGCTAATAAACTCCAAACAAGGACGGAAATTTTCGTCTGACTCTCCTTTTCAAGATTTGAGCACACCCTCACCATAACTTCCTTGTGACGTCACTCACACAGTCCAACTATTCTGCCTGTCCGGGTTTATAACCAGTAATCAACCGGTTATCCTTTAGTCCAATAATTAATATGATGCATTCGCTAGTCCGCTCCTAATTACTTGATCCCATATATTCTAAATTTTCTATCGTTAAATTGAAACGTGCAGCTTCCGGAGAACACAATTTACCGGACCAATAGTAATTTATACTGGGAGGAAGTCACTCCTCAGGTATGCAGCAAAGTTTTTTCTACTGCGTCCTTTTGTGATTTCTCTCCATTGACCCTAATTGCCATTCTCACTCAATTTTTTACTTCCAAGATACTCGCTCTCAAAAGAAGGGAACAAAAGTGGAAAGCAATGCAGCCGCAGAAGTAGGTTTCGAAGTCAATCGGTCTAATGGAAACCGGAGAGTGAAGTCAGCCAAAAAATCTACATCGAAGCGATCAAAAAAGTCAACAGAAGCGACACCTCACCATGGCGAAGCGGGGATGGCTTTTCTGAGGCAATCGAAATTAACCGTAAGTTTGCCACTTGTGTTCCCCCTGTTCGTGTCGACCAGCTTCTTCCCCCCTTGTGTAACTAATGAGCATCGCAAATCCGCATGTTCCTGCGGAACCCATTTATTTCTATTTATGTGACCCACTGCGCTGCAGGAGGTTCTTCACTTCATCCGGCTGTTTCTTCTAA